CAACAGCAGGCTCCATACTGCCTGGCCACCCCAGGAACAGGCCCCAGCTCCCCTCTTCCTAAGGTCTCTGCAGCAGCAAGCACCAACCTTCTCACTAGTCCCTACTGGGAGGCAGAGACAGAACTAGAAGAGGGAAACATTGCAAAAACTTGAACACAAATTCTGAAAGCTTCTAATTACAAGATAACTAGGAAATACCTAGACAGAAATAGTAATCATCACCACCTACTGCTGCAGCCAAAATTAAAAACATTTCACAAAGGATTCAAAGCCCTGTGTTGACATGAAGTGACGCATTTAGCCTACCAGACCGTGCGGATGGGCTCCGGAGGTAAAGGCCCTTTCTGAATTCATGAAAAGATCAACATCTGAATATATATTAAAGATAAAGTCTAAATAATTCATAAGAGGCAGAAAAACACCGGCTTAACTTCTAGGTGGGTGCGGGGCCACTGGCCCCTGAGGGAGGGAGGGAACAGAGTCCAGGAGGCACGTGCTAATGAATTCTGTGCCTCTTGCCTCCACCCAGGCCTGGCTTTAAATGGCAGACTGTTTTATTAGAAGAAAACACCAATCTCTCAACTCAGAAGACACGATCTCAGCACAAAAAGGTGGAAATCACCCATCCCTAACTCCAGGACTTTTAAAAGAGAAACAAAGTTCATGGGTCCTCAGATGGCTCGCCTCCAGGGACGCGAAGCCCCGGAAGAGCTGCTGGGATCATTCCTGGTCCTGTGACTTGGAACCATCCCACGGGCCCAGAACCAGCCTCAGGCATGGGACAAGACAGCCGGCACAGTAGACCCAGGGCTGTGGCCTCACGCCTTCACCAGCAGGGACGGTCTCCTGGGAGCTGCCTCTTCAGGGCCACCTGGAGACCAGCTGAGAAGCAGCACAATCCCAGGAACGGCTCTGAGCCTGGCTCTGCCGCTCTCCTCGAGTCCTCGGATTTCTCCACACCTCTGTCCTCTCCACCCTATACTGGAGATCTTGTTTCCTGCCCAGTGGGCTTGTGGCCACCAAATAGCCCCTGGTGCTCTGCAAAGCCACGTAGCCCCTTTAGTCCTGTGCTCGTCAAGACACTCAGCTCCAAGAGACTTCTGTCCACTAACAAAGACAAGAGCTGCCATCTTCAAGACACTAAATTGTCCATTTAAAGATTGGACAAGTGAGCACCAGGCCTGGAAGGCTGCCCCAAAGGGACAGCCAGGTCCTGGTTATCTACGCAGTTATCTCCGTGCCTTAAGCTGAGCTCAGGGTTCACCAGAAAGCTCCCAACACCGCAGAAATCCCTTTCTTCTCCAATCATGAACCACCCACCACCAAACAGGAATGCCATAAGAGAGAAGGAACCCATTCCGATGACTTAGCCATCCCGTCTGCAAGGCCAGCTCTCCGGCCCCCTGCCTGCACCATGTAAGAGAGACCTGTGCAGACTGGGCCTAGGGACACTCAGGGGATTCTGTCTGGCAGTTAGGACCTCGGATAAAACCCTGTGGCCTCACTGGGTGGGCACGCCCAAGCTGCTCTGACACTGTCCTCAGGAGGGCCGAGGCTCTGCACAGCCACCCTCAGACCACATCTCCTGAGCAGGGTGTGGACACGGCCTGCTTCCTGGCCAAGTGAGCAGGAGTGCTGGGGTGACTGGCTGCTCACAGGGTGCACTCCCTGGACCCTGCCCACCAGGCCAGCTCCACGCCAGGGACCAGCCAGCTCATACTTCCCTGCTTGCAGAGGAGGAAAACGCTTTTCTGACTGATGACAAAAGGTCCCCTGAAAACGCCCTGCCCTGTGTTCACATGTAAAGAGCACCTAACAGAGAGGGGCCAGCCAGGTGGGGCCAGAGCTCCAGGTGGGCCTGGCCCCTCTGCCCCCACTGCCCACAGGCCCCACCTTCAGGCAATTCCTCAAAACACAGAAGGTGGGGCTTTTCCTAATTTTGCAGTAATACTTTTTTTAAAAATTTGTAAATTCATAAAAATGCAGGAAGAAAATGAAATTTTAAAACACCTATAATTCTGCTCTTTCCATAGTAGCCACAGTTTTTGGTATATCATTCTAAATTTTTTTTCATGGCTATATCTACCTTTTTTGAAACAAAAATGTGATTATGCTGTACATTCTATTTTATAACCTGCTTTTTTACACTTGTCAACATAATTTAAACAATTTTTGGTTTTTAAAAAATATTTATTTTTTAGTTGTAGTTGGACACAATACCTTTATTTCACTTATTTATTTAATTTTATATATATATATATATATATATATATATATATATATATATATATTTAGTTTTAGGTGGACACAATATCTTTATTTTATTTTTGTGTAGTGCTGAGGATCGAACCTAGGGCCTCATATGTGCTAGGCAAGCGCTCTACGGCTGAGTCACAATCCCAGCCCCAATTTTCGATTTTTTAGTATGCTCATCTGATGCTGTTTAAAGGATGCAGAGTTGTAACATTCTGGCCCACCCAGGAGACCTCATGGTGCACTTTGATAAGCAATCCTGCCAGGGACAGCCTCACCCAGCTAAGTCTTTGCCCACACCCATGACTGTACCCTTAGAATACATAAGGAGGTGTAAATGTGGGCAGCACTGGTGGAGTTAAACCCGTGTGCACAGTTTCTCCATGTAGAGCAGGGAGTGGTTTTATAGCAAAAAAAAAAAAAAACAAGCTCCCTGAGTTGGCACCTCGCCACGCACGGTTCAGGGCACATTCCACACCTGAGCCCGTGATCGCCCTCTGCCCTCCTCGGGCCTCATTCTTCAGTGTGTGGCTCACACTTTTGAAGCTTTTCAACACAGTCTCTGTAAGAATCACCATCAATGACGCTGTCCTGGGGCCCCCGCCTGCTCACAGCCTCTCTCCAGGGCCTGGAGGAGAGGGACACGGCTCCTGGGCAGCAGGAGACACTTAGGCTAGCTGTCACCAGCCTGCCTAGGGCCACCTTCCCCTATATGCTGGGGAGTCCACTTCTGCAACCTGCCCCTCTGTCCCCAGGGGGAGAGGGTAGGACCTGAGCAGGAAGGGTGGACTCCTGAGCCTTACACAGCCCAGGTGACCAAAACTCAGATTCAGTGTTACAAGGCTACCCTTCCCCCTGGGGCTCTCCTTTTGCAGAAGACAACCTGAGAACCAGGCAATCTACCTCTCCCTCCCCATCTACCTACCTACCTACCTACCTACCTACCTGTGTCTCTATCTGTAGGCCTCTACCTGTATCTCTACCTCTCTCCTCCTTCTCCCTCAGCAATCAATGGCTTGATCACAAAGCCCTGAGGACTTTGTGGTCAGAATACATACTGGCAGGTGGTGTGGTTATTGGGCATATAGAATGCTTGGCACAGCCCCTGGGAAGAGCATCCCTACAGTTCCACACCACATCACACATGCACACCAACATGCCACAACTGCCTCTGGCCACCACCCTCCCCTGGTCTTGCTCTACATGAGTCCTGGATTGGAGAGAAGCTGTGGAAGGGTCTTTTAAACTATCAGTCTGAGTGCTTCACCCTACTGCTTAAACCCTTTGTGGCTTCCCATCATCCCCAACACCAGTCCCCATGTATTCATCCCCTCACAATGCTCTCTCCATCAGGGGCAATTCTCTCTACTTCTCTCACCTCTCCACACTTGTATTGTATTAGTGTCTTCTTCATTGCTATAACAAAACACCTGAGGCTGTGTACTTTGTACAGAAAAGAAGTTTATTCAGTTCACAGTACTCAAAGTCCAAGAACATGACACCAGCCTCTGCTCAGCTCAGGTGAAGGACTTCAGACTACACCACAAATGGCAGATGGCATTGTGTTACGAGCACACACACAAAACACACACACACACACACACACGGGAATCACATGACAGGAAGCAAGACAGAACAAGCTAAGACAATCAAACTCATTTTAACACGTTCTTGCAGGAACCAATTCAACACCAGAAGCCCTGCATTAATCCCTCCACAAGGGTGCAGCCCATGATTTAATCACCTCCCACCAGGCGATTCCTCTTAAAGAGTCACCCCTTCTGAACATCTCCCACAGTGGGGAGCAAGCTTCCCACACCTGAACCTCTGGGGACAGTCCCAAACCACAGCGGCCACCTGCACACACCTGCCCCAGACAGCACTGCTCACCACCACAGTGGCAGTGCCACACATGGACATTCAGACTGGGTTTCAATCAGTGCAATGTAGTCTTGTGTTCTTCAGCTGCCCCGGCCACACATCTCATGTGGCTGTGACCTTGGACAGCTTGGACGGCAGAGACGAGGACCTTCCCCAGACACCCCCACTGGACGGCAATCCGAAGCCTGGAGAACCTTGCCCAAGCTCTCCAGAACCACAGCCTTTCTCCCGAGTTCTTCCCCATCGTAACCACTAGGACACTGATGAATCGGTTCCTGAGACGACCCCCAAACCAACAGTGAGCACCACTGTCCCTTAAGTTATTGGATTACTTGTGTTTCTTGGAGAATCGACTCCTGGTGGACTAAGCTGATTACCCTCAGCCTTCTGCGAGGCAAATCCTAATCTCCTAGAAGCCCCTCTCTACCTGCCTAAGGCCCCCGAGTCTGTCCTCAGAGGTGTCCCTCTCAGCCCGGGGTCCTTCACCTTCTGACAGCTCCTGCGGCCCCAGGATGCAGCCTCTTCCCTTGAACACTCTGTACCGCAGCTGGAGCAGCAGGGACAGCAGAGGTCACCTTCTGTCACCACCGTCGAAGGCAGTCCCAGGGGCCACACGTGGTCACCCGGCTTGCAATCTGGGAGGGGGCTAATGCAGAACGCAGCCCAGTGGCAGCGGGGAGTGTGTGCGGGGGGCCTCTCAGCTAAGACACGGAAGATGCACCCGCATGGAGAGAAGAAGCACTCGCCTGGGAGAGAGGCAGCCATGCTGCAGGTGGGACCTCACCCGGCCGAGAGCTCTGGGAGACAACCTGTGCGGGAGCCCGGGGGGGGGGGGGGGGGGGGGGACCTAGAACTGGGGGGGGAGGGGGGGAAGAAGGAAGAGGGAAGGTCCGAGGGAAGCCAGGCCCAGCAGCCAGCCCTGTAGCCCCAGCTACTCCGGAGGCTGAGGCAGGAGGATTGCAAGTTCCAGGCCAGCATCAGCAAATTAGCAAAACCCTGTCTCAAAAAAAAAAAATGAATAGCTGAGAATGTAGTTCAGTGGTAGATCACCCCTGGGTTCAATCCCCCGTCCAGGAAAGGGGGGGGCAGCGTCTCACGGTTCCCCTGGGGGAACCTGTGGCGGAGGAAGCCCAACCCAGGAGAGCAGCCGAGAACCCTGCAGTGACGCGCCTTGTCACGAGCAGGGGGCCGTCCCGGCAGGCTGCTCTGCAGTCCACAGAGCCACTGACCTCACTGAGAGCAGAGGACCTCCACAGGCCAAAGGGAAAGGAAGATGAAGCTAACTGTCTCCATAAAAGCAAAGATGGGAGCCCAGACTTTCCATGGGCCATTGGCTAACCGGAGGACAGGGCAGACATCTAGGAGATCCGCAGGTGGCAGTTGTCTGTCTGCATGGCCCCTGGAGACCCTGGGCACCTAGTGATCACGATGAGAGGGGCTCCCGTCTGCAGGACTGTAGTATGTCCACTTTGTGGGCATCCGGGAGGTCCTCGAAGACCAAATCAAATGCCTGCTTGGTAGGGCAGAGAAGGAGGCGGACTTGAGAACAGGACCTGCAGCTGCACCGCGAGCTTCTCAGAGTGGAGCCAGGTGCTTCCCGGGGGCTGCCCGCTGCAGAGCCGCAGACAAGGGGCCGCTCTGGGAGGCTACCGTGCTCTGGTGCTTTGGTACCTGGACCAAGGGACAGGAGGGGCAGACAGAGTGGAGGTGACACTGCTAAGACAAGACAAGAGCAGTTGCCCTTTCCTGACTGAGTCCCCTTTCCCAACAGTTGCCCCTCCTGGGACGCATCCTGTGCCTCCCCAGGTAGGACATGACTGTCCATTTGAAGTGTCGTGTGAACCTCACCACTTCCCATGCTCCCGGGCACGGCACTTGCCATCCTGGCCCCGCTGCCCAGGGCTGCCTGAGAGAAGGGCTCCGTGTCTGTGTGACATGAGGGCATTTCAGTGGCACAGGTCTCCTGCCCCACAGCACGGGCCCCAGTGCCCCAAGAATACTTTGGACAGGGGCGTAAACCACCTCCGCCACTCACGCCTAGCCCTGAAAGGACACGCACGCCCTGAGCCCGCGCGCTCTCCAGGCCCTTCCCCGAGTGGACAAGGAGCAGCATTTGCTTTTGAGCCACCAGACAAAAGCTTCATGTGGTGCTGGAAGGAGCAGGCAGGGCAAAACTCCAAATGAGGGTGTCCTTGGGGACCCAGAGGGGTCATTTTCAGGTCTTAGGAAACACATATGATGCGAGTAGTGCTGGGCCGGGGAGGGGCGCGTTCACGTGGCCTCCCTACAAGAGCGGGGAAGGCACTCCCATCCCATCCCACTGGCACGGTGACAGGAAGCAATGACATAAGGAAACATGGACCCTCGGGACCTTGCAGGGCACACAGCCACGACCTGGCTCAGAGCCCCACACCTGCTTGTCTTGATTCCACCCCAAGACTCTTCACAGGAAGGTGAGCAGTCCGGTGAAGAGCTGCAGGTCAGTGGGGCTGGGAAGCCACCAGCTGTCCTTGCTGGTGTTTCTCACTCCACCAGCTGGCCCCCAGGGGACAGCCTCACAGCCCAGTAGACACTGATGGGAGGAGCCTCTCTTCCCTCTGCAAAGAAAATGAAATGGTAGAAGCCATTCTGAGGAGCCCACCCCTCCCGACCTCCAGCATCACACAGGAGCCAGGTGCAAAAGATCATCATGCACAGCGAGGTCACACCCAGCACCATCTCCACCTCCAAGGTCCCCAGAGGGTGACGTCCCCTGGCTGTAGCTCACCCAGCTCCAAGGTTCTTTTGACCTTCACACTCCCATCCTATACCCCTGACGTCCTGATAAACCAGAGGAGCGTCCCAGCAACGGTCAAGCAGGAATCCTTCTTCGTAGCACATAGGAAGACACGCCGGAAACGTCTTCTAAAATGAAAGGGCTCCGGGAAGAGCGATTCCCGGTCTCAGACTGCAGAGTCAGAGCCGGGGTTACATTTGGGTTAGGTTTAAGGATAATCCACATGGGAGGATTTTTATAATTCCTTAATCTGGGATAAACTGATAAAATGGAAATTTTCTAGAAGTAAAGATCATGTTCCTTTATCCTAAGGGGACAGGAGACAGTGGAAGCTTTAAGCCAGGGGCAAATGTGAGAAGGCAGGGCAGGAAGGAAGGTGGGCAGGGCGGACCTCGGAGTTATTCCAGAGCCACCCCAGTGCCCAGGGGCGTCCCAGCTCAGACTGCAGAGAGGCTCACAGCCCAGCCCCCCCCCCCCCCCTCTGGGCTTGCACTCTGGCTGGGGAAACAGAAAGCAAATAAAGGAGGAAGCCTCAGAGCCCGGCCAGGCGGGGGCGCGGGAGGCACGCAAGTCCTTCCTGTCTTCCGAATCATTTGAACTTTAATTGGTGTTTCTCCAAGAGTTGGGTCCACCAGCAGGGGACGGAGGGGGACTTCCAGGTGGCTGCAGAGGTGACAATCTCATAGGTACCCTCCTCAGGAGAGCAGGAGAACTGTCACCTCCAGATCTGCAGAGCAGATCACAGCAAGCCCCAAAGTCTGGAACTCGCCTCTCCAGGTGCTGCCACTCAGCCCGACCTGCACACCAGCTCCCCGGAAACCACGAGGCCTGTGGAAGCCCGTGGCCACTGTCCCATTGGGCTTCTGGCTCCTGTGTGGCAGTGCTCAGCCCTTAACTGAGAGGACAGTCACCTATTCACGCGGAAGAGGTCTGCTCAATACCAGGGACTTCAGGTGCTAAGGCCGAAGGCCAGGAGAAGAAGACCCGTGGCAAAGCCGATCCAGAGGTCTGCTCACTGGGGGCCACTGGAGGACACCAGGTAGCCAGACAGGAGAGTAGTGGGCCACCGAAGCCCCAAATCCCTGTCAGGAGTCCTCAGAAGGCTCCAAAGAGAGGTGACCTAGGACCTGGGATTTTGAAGAATGAATGTGTTTTTCAGGCTGAGAAGAGGTGGAGAGGCATTCCAGGCTGGGAGGGCAAGAGACGCACCATCACAGAGCGGGGACCAGCCAGAATGTCCGAGGATGGCTGCCCAGTTGTTCAGAGTGGCTGGAGCCCGGGTATGTGGCAGGAGGGGCAGAGCTGTCTGGGGAGGGATGTGGGGACTGGATGATGAGACCCTTGCCAGCTGAAGCAGGGACCCTGGCCTTCCTCGGCAGCCGTGTGGGGTAGGGACATCACCAGGTTTACACAGATTTCTGGGTATCAGGGTGCAGCTGGCACTGACAGGTGACGGGCACCATGGCAGGGACGTCCACAGGAGGCCACTGCCCAGGCCCAGGACACAATGGCGAGATCAGAAGCGAGGCAGGCAGTGGGCTGGGAGGAGAGTTGGGGACGTGGACTGGAGTGGCAATGGGGAACTCAGGTGGGTCCCCGAGGAGAAATGTGTTCGTTTTCTATAGCTGTGACAACATTACCACAAAATCAGCAGCTTAAAGAAGGACATTTATGATAGCACCCACCTCTGTGGGTCCAGAGTCCCAGCGAAGCCCCACAGGATGTCTGCCTGGGTCTCTCAAGCTCGCAGGAGAGGCAGCAACAGGAATGGGTCTCAGCCGGTGGCCTGACAGGGCAAGGACCCTTCCCCTCTCTGCGGGTTGTTGTAGAACTTGGTTTCCGCTGGCTGCTGGTGGCTGGCTGGAGGCCACCCTCCAAGTGGATCCCAACACGACCACCTGCTTTCTCACAGAAAGATGGCTGCTGGGGAGGGAGTGAGAAGGACCACACACAGACAGGGTCTTCTCGGGTTGAAGAAATGTCCTGAACTTATGCTGTGGTGTTGGTTTCACAATTCTGTAAAGTTGCTGAAGATCGCTGGCTTAAAATAGGCCCCTGTCACAGCAGGCCAGAGGCACCTGGATGCAGCTGTCAGTCTGGAAGCCACAGATGCAGGACGACACTGCCTGAAACAGGGTCAGTGGGCACAAGGCAGCTGCACAAAGGGAGGGGACACTTGCTCACGGCACTGTAATCCACCTTCCTCTGCAGAAGCACCTCAGACCCAGAGAGCAGGGCTGACGGCCACCCCGGAAGGTACTGGGCAAGAGTGTGTGGGCCCCGTGTCCAGGAAGAGATGCGTGGACAGAGTGTCTCCCAAAGAGATGCAGCGCGCCCCTCCCCTTCGCTCACCCAGTAAACGCACTGGGAACCTGCAGGCACCAGCTGGGTCCTTGGCCCCAGCTTGCTGACGGGCCAGCGTGGAGGCACAGATGCCCTATGAGGACCCAGCTGCCTCAGTGGGAATGTGTCCAGGATGTCAGCAACAGCCTGGACCACCCCAATCAACAGGAAAGTTTGTTCCCTCCCTGGCTCTAGCCTGTGACTTTCGGCAGCCATGACCGTCTCCTGTGGAAGCTGTGGTGGACTCCAGGTGGCGCACATGTTGAGCCCAGCTTGTCCCTAATTAGTTAAGCCCAGGAGGCAGCCACTCATTCGCCCTCTCTGCAGTCTCCCTGTGGGGCCAGCGCCACATCTCGCTGCTAAATGTAACCAGGAGAATCAGGTACTCAGGGACTCAAGATGAGAGGTTTGGTCCCTCTCCCAAAGCCAAAGGAAAAGCCTGTGGCCAGAGAGAAGGAGGTGAAGAATTTGTGGCAGAATGACAGCGCCTGGCATTCCCGTGGTTCGTGCTGCGTGCCAGCAGGACCTCGGGGCGTGTTTACAAAGCATGTCATTGCCTTTGCTGCTCATCCCAACCCTAGAAAAGAGGCACGACCCCATCTCCCAGATGAGAAAACTGAAGCTCGGGGTCAATCCCTCTTTTCCATCCTCCAGGCCCACAAACCAGCAGCTACCCACATTTCTCCTTGGCTCTGCCTGTTCATGTACATGCAAAGCTCCCGCCACCTCTGCATGACATTTCCCATCACCCCAATGTGCCCAAGTCACTGCAGTTGGCACAAAATGCATTTAGATTGTTTTCTTACACAGTAAATGTTTTCAAAGCATTCACCTCACTTGTTTCTATGATTACGTAAAAGTCCAAACAAGTTGCAAGGCAAACTAGAGGTCATTTTAGAGCCACACAACCCAGCTAAGTATTTTAAGTAGGGCCCAGGATTATGAGTCACAGCTGTGAGTGACAGGGAGGCGGATAGAATTACACACTCGGCCTGGAAGGAGCAACAGGCGGGCCCAAGCCCGAGTTAGAGAGGCAAGAGAGAGACTGCAGCCCTGACAGGGGCGCCACCTGCCCGGGTGAGTTGGCGGGCCGCCCCAGGCAGCCGCGGCCCTGCCCTGCCCCTGCAAGCTGCCCTGTCTGATGAACTCACGGATGAAGGCAGGACGGTTTCTCGGACACCTGACAAAGGCTGTTTCCAAGGAAGGGTTCTATTTAGTCCTTACACACGACCTGTGTATTTTCTCTCCTGGAACCGGATACCTCTGGAAACCTGCCAGGCGCTAGTCAACGGGGAGGGCGAGTGTGTAAGATGGGAAAGGGAAACTCAGGCAGGAAGGTGCTGGCGCAGAATTGCCGCCGGATGAATTTCTCACTCTGCAATGGGAACCGGATGGGGCCCTGGATGTCGCAAGGGCCTCAGGCTGAGAACCAGTGTTTGCACAACCCAGGCCTGGCCCAGGCAGCCTCCTCCCTAGGGAGCTCTTGGCCAGCCCAATAGAAGTGACTTCTCCCCTGCACAGCCACGGAGCTGGGGCCATCCCACACCACTGGCAGTCCCGCTGGCTGAGAAATCACGTTATTTAATGTTGTTTTAGAAGGGACTTTTCCAAACTCATCAATCAGTAAACCTGTGTCCAGAGTGATATTAATGGCAATTATCGTTGTCAAGGCTCTTTAATTTTTTTCGAAGGACGGCTTAATCTACTGCACTGTGATGGATCAGGATGGAGGCCACTTATCATTTCTGAAAACGACACATGCAAAATAACAGTGAGATGTGAGATCAGGCCTTTGTTCTGATTTACAGTTTGCCTCTGACATTCTCTCATCTGCTCCCTCCTTCATCCATTCTACAACACCCTCTGTGTGCCTCATGGGGGCAAGACCTCAGGGCGAAGGTGCCCAGGACAGCCCCACCCTCCCCAAGACCCAGACCTTCCTTGAAGGACACCATGAAAACTATAGGCAGTGCTGTCCAGCAGGGCACAGCACCAGGCACTGGGTGGACGTCCATCACAGGGATTGACCTGCCCTAGGTCAATGGGAAGACATTGAAGGACAGGCAAGAGCTGGCTAAGGCAGGAGGATGGTCATGCAGGACAGAAGCCCAGGAGGAGTGGCAGAGGGAATCAGCAGAGCCTGGTGGGGAGACCCCACCATTATGGCCACACAGCTCAGAGCAACAAAAACCACCCCTGAGCCTGGGCCTGCGGACCCCAAAGGCAAGTACTGGGCTGCTTTGAGGGTCCCCAGGGTCCACAGATTTGTCCTGTTTGGTGTCTGATGGAGAATGAGCAGGGAGAGGGATTCGGGGCACTTGGTTCAAAGCGGTCTCTCCACGTGTGGCCAAGCCAGAACCTCCGTTTCCCACTCCGGCTCTCCAGTGGTTGCTATCTTGAGCAAATATTCCCATCAGAAAACAGAACCACCATAAAGTCATCTCAACCACTGAGTTTATTTAGCACAGTCCAGCCCCAAACTGAAAACCCAAGGAGACAGTTAATTGAGCCTCAGCACAGAGCCCAGCAGGGCACGAGCCAGAGCAGGCCCGAGCAGACCTCCCGAGGTGCCCCTGACTTCCCCTGAGCCAGTTAATTTATTCCACATACAATCTCCTCCCAGCCTCCAGGGAATCCAGCTTCATGGAGGTCCTCTTAGTGGAGGATTTATCAAACCAGAGTATATGCATGGTATGAACATCAGATCCATTATCTAAGCTGTTGGTTTTAGTCGAAATGTCAAGAAATGATTTAGTATAAAATCCGTCACAAAAGCATTTATTAAAAAATCTTTTGCTGCTCTTCATCTACAAACATTTACTACCCTGCATACAAATGTCAGTGGTTCAGCCTAATATACTTCTTCATTATTTACTGTTCACTCCTGGATAAAAGCCAAAAAGGATGTCCACCAGGACTGCAGCACGGTACAGACCAGAGCTGCCCGACATCAGGTGGGGTGCTGTGGGGGCCAGCACACTGCACAGAGATCAGGCCCTCTCTGGGGAGCAGAGTCCTCCTCATGTCAAAGCTTCACTTACAAATGGAAGTTTATCAATGTATTACAAGGACTTTCTAGAGTAAACCAAATTAAACAAGGACATGACAGCTAATTGATCCATGCATGCCAGCGTACTTTTATCCAAATATAGAATTTATAAAAACCAACGATCGACCTGCTAGGTCCCCGCCTTAGTCCACAGACCCTGGATTGTCTCCACGGAGCTCCTCTCATGTTGTCCAAACTCGCTAAGTTAAGCCAGTTCCCATGGAGTCGTGGGATTCTGTGGTGGGGAAGGGCTCTTCATCCTTCATACCTCAGCACGACACCCACCCTTCATTACCAGGAAGCAGGGAGAGCTCCGGAGGATCTGAGCAGCCTGTCGAGGTCACCCAGCTGGCTGGTGACAGAAGAGCTCTGGAACCTTCGACGCGTGATTTAGGATTAAATGGATGTCATTTGGCCCGGCTGGAGGGGAGCACCAGGGGATTCCAAGTCAGAGAGAGCGGCCAGAATAAGCAAACAAATATGGGCCATGGAAGCTCAGGGGGAGCTTGGGTTTCAGAGCCTCGGTTATAAGCATGAAAAACCACATTTCACCTCCCAGTAACCCCTGTCTGCTTTCTGTCTTCCAAATCTACACCAGTCACGTCACCCTTACAACGGGTTATCGATGCCTTCCTTACGAGACCCACGTACTCTGAATTGGCAAGGCAGACATCCAGCTGTTAAACACCCTCTGCAGACAAATGGATATGCTCCAACCTGAAGGAGCCAGATCACCTGGCCATGGGGACCCGGGCTTTAGTGGAGCTGCACCCAAGTCAGCTTTGGAGCCCCAGCAATAAATGTGCATGCCTTGCTCTCTGCATGTGGGGGTGCCTCCTGCTCTTAACTTGAGCAAACTGTGCCAGCATGAGAACCCTAGTCCCACCCCACCCTGGGCCTCAGCAGCAGGAAGGTGCTTATGCCTGAGTTGTACCCACACCCCGTTTTGAGTGTCCAGCAGACAGGGGTGTAAAGAGGGGGGGATGGAGGAGCTACAGGACCAGCAGGGCAGGCCACGTCCCTGGTCTCAGAGAGCTTCTTTGAACCTCCCTGGATGCTCTGGGGTAGGAGAGCTTGGAGCAGGGCAGACTTAGACTGCAGAGGAGAGCAGACAACACCAGGTGCAAGCCCGGGGCACCCCTCCCCGTGCTCCACCATCACTCCTTGTCTCCAACTCCTCAGTCCCTTCTGTTCCCCTCCCTGCCTCACGTCATGAAGACCCTCTGCTGAGGGCACAGTGGTGTCAGAATCAGAAACACGACAGCCCCCAGCAGGAGAAGCCAGCATACACTGAGTGTGCCCGCACCCGTTGCTGGGCCTGCTGCCGTCCAGCTCCCCAGGAGCAGACACAATTGTTAGCCACCTCCTCCTTTCCAGAGCCTTCCACAGTCTGATTCTTGCACAACTTGCTGTCTCTCTTGCCCTCTGCCTCCACAACCCGAGCTACAAGCCATGAGGCAGGGCCTGTGGACCCTGATGGCTACTGGAACCCTGTGCCTGACGACCCCAGGGAAGGCCCCTGACAGCCAGAATGGGAGTCCAAGATTCCAAAAAGTGGCGGCTCCCAGGTCTCCCCCAGCAGGAGACAGGATCAAGCTGCGGTGAGGTCAGCCACATGTCCCTCTCCCTCCTCCCGCCCGCCAGTGTCTCTGGCCTCTCAACCCCCCCACTCAGGCTCCTGGAGAGCAGCACAGGCAGTTCCCAGCTGTGAGGCAGACGTGGCCCCTGCTCTTCCTAGACTGTTCCAGATTGAGAGATGCCCAGGTCTTGGTGCCACCTGCAGCTCCCCTTGTGGCAGATGTGGCCCCAGCTGGTCTCCAGGGGTTGAAGTATTCGGCACCCTCAGCCACAGCTCCCACGCGCACTGATCTTCCCAGCGTGAAGTACATCTGTATCACTTAAAGGAGCAAGCTCAATTATTTAACTCTACCTAGATTTAGTTCAAATATAAGAGTTACAGTGTACATCTGAGACTTCTGGGAAATTGATTTTTCTGCTTAAGATCATTTCATAGGGTTTAGCATGAAAACCAAATCGGGCGCAAACCGATCTCTTAGTAGATACTGAGCTTGTTTCCTTTCTCCAAAGAGCGGCTGAGGCCAGAGTCCTGCCCCTGCCCCTGCCCTGGCCGTGTGAGTAGGCTGATGTTCAGGTTATTCACAGGCCGGAAGGGCCTGCCCGCAGTCTTCTTTGGAGCAGCCATTGAGCCTTCCCTCATCCCAGCACCATGGACCGGACATGCCCAGGGAGCACACATCGATGTCACAGCCACCCTTCAGGACACCTGGGGAGCTGAGAGGGCTGGAGGTGGGGTGGGTTTCTTGGGCTCCTCGGCCATCGTCAAGTGGTTTCTTTAGTTTCTCTTAGGAAGACAGCACTGGGGGGCCAGGGAGTTTAGACTGAAACCTCTCACAGACGACACCCTTGATGCTTCCCGGGGTGCTTGGGCTGATCCTCGTGCTCACAACTAAAGCACTGTCATGGTTTCTATGAAGATGCTCTGTGTCCTTGAGCTTCTCAGAAGAGAGAGGACCGTGTGGCCCTGTGAGGACAACGTCTCAAAGAACTTTACAAATGATGGCAGCCTAAAAAGTGGACATGGCAAGCTTTCAGATGAAGAGTCCTCGCAGAGAAGTGAGAGCGCAGGCCCCAGGCACTGCAGTGGAGGCCCCGCTCTCCCTGCAAGTGGGTCCCTGATTGATTTCCTCTGGGGGGAGATGTGCAAGCCAGGGTGCTGCTGGAGTAGGATTATCCCAACAGGAGAGATGTGGACAGGGCAGGGTGTGCTTGGGCTTCAAAGGGAGAACTCAATCAGAACCAGTCCCTCTGCCACCAGTGGGCCACCGGGGCTGCTCTAGGCCCAAGAGTCTCTGTCTGTAATGAGCAGCATGCTGGTTATACCTGCTGGTGGGCAGCAGGGACTCACAGCGGTAACTATGGCACCTGGCACAGAGCGGGCACCCAGTTATCGATGGTAGTCACCTGTTACTTACAGTCATTGCCAACACGCATGCAGCATAGTGCCTCGCCCATCCGAATAAAATACAAAGAAGAGAAAGAAACACAGTTCCCTGTCCTCTACCTGTGTTCTCCCCAATTTAGATGAAATCTAACAGCCCACTAAAGGCTCCCAGTGACCTTGTACGTGGCAGCAAAGATGGGGCTCAAGAGCAAAGCCCAGGGATACAGGGACCTCAAGGTCCCTGATGCCTCACAGCCGCCGTTCATCTGACCCTGGCGATGGGGGTGCACTCAGAGCCACTCTCTCTAGCAAGAGTGACCAGCAGAGCTTTCCGCCATAAAGAAAACACCTGCATCTGTGCCAACCTGGGCAACCATGGGCGGCTGCCTGGCACCTGAATCCTGGCAGTGCCACTGGGAAAATGG